GGAAACCCAGAATCCTGGGCCAGCAGGATCCACGGCAAGTGGGACCTGAGCTTTTCAGGAACCCATTGCCCCTTGGCTCCGGCCTCTCCGCGCCCCGGCCCCTTCCAGGAGCTTCTCTGGCTTCAGGGAAGGTCCAAGCTCCAGGGGAACTCGTCTGAGAGCATCAGACTCCATCCCTTCCCAGGATAACCCTCCCCGGGGAAACCAGGCCCGTCAGCGCCGACGTTTCCCAAGGGCGACTCCCAAATAAATGATTTCAGACTTAACAGAAGCCGCTTAATAAATTCCACTCTTCGAGTTTCTTTGGGTATTTTAGAAACTGATTTATACATACAATATCTCTCTCAAAATGAGACAATCAACACAGGATAAAATTATTGAGTTATGAAAATAGGGGTCAGATGGAGGTGCCGCGCTTTAAATTAAACCGGCAAAATATATCTTTCATACTAAATTGACTCTTTTTGTCTTGGAAATGAATGTTTAATCAGTTAAGACGCCGAAGTCGAGGGAGAAGCCTTGAGCATATTTAATTCTGTAGAGGGACCCGATTCCAATACTGCCCGTGATTCCTGCTGGCAGCCAGACCTTTAAAGGAGAAGGGCCAACATCACATGGGCCAGTGGGGCCGAGCCAGCCGGGCAGGGGACCGGAAGGAAGGGGTGGCCTCTGGGGTCTGAGCCAAGGGGTTCCTGGCATTTATGAGATGACTGGCCTTGTCCCTCTCTGCAGGGACAACATCTCTAGCACACGGCACTCTGTGTCATAACACCTGGCACACCTTAGCATCAGGGCGTCCTCTGAGCCACCTGCAGCAGGACTGCACCATCCCTCGGACACCTGGTGAAATTAGAAAGTGGCCAGGAGGGGACCCAGCTGGGCTGGAATTCAGGTTTTACTGTTTAAGAACCCGATGGCATTAAATCACTCATAAAGTACTTACAGAACCCATTCTGTGTCAGGCGTCACCTCCTGTATGGAGTGATAATGACAGTTTCTAAGGGGTACCTGCTGACCCTTGACTATGCTAAGCACCCCCAGGGCCTATTAGTACTCGTGGTACTGAGTGTTCCCATTGTACAGATGAGGCATTAGAGACAAGGATCAGACTTTGTATCCTTGAACTCATTAGAATACTTGTACTCCTTTGATCGTGTTTCCTCCCTGCAAAAGGCAGAGCCTCCAGTTAGGAAGCGATAACCCCACATCTGAGTCGGCACCCAGAGCACCGTACCCTGACCCTAGTACAACATTGCTTCATTTTTTAGAAACAGGGTGTATTAGTCAGCTTTGCATCACTATAACAAAATACCAGACACAGGTGACTTACGAAGAAAAGAGAGATTTACTTTAGTTCACAGTTCTGGAGGCTCAAATCCAAGATGGAGGGGCCACATTGGTTTAGGCCTCTGGCAAGGGCAGCCTCTCGCAGCGGGAGGGGGCACAAGAGCAGTGGTTACATCTTGAGCCAGGAAACAGAGAAAGAGAGGAAGAGACCAGGGACCCACAATCCCTTTGGAGGGCACACCCCCAAGAATGTAAGGACTCCCACTAGGTCCCTTCTCTTAAAAGCCCATAGCACCTCCTAATATGCCATCTTGGGGACCAAGCTGGATACTGCCTGGGGCCACCATCCATACTCAAACCATAGGGTAGCCTTCGCTCCATCTACACAGAGTTCCTCTGACGTCTTATAATAGCTCCTGAGCTCAGAGCACTGGCTAGTACCTTGTAGGTGCTCAATATGGAGCAATGGCTGGTACCAACCTAGTAGGCGCTCAATAAAGGAGCCTGTATTAGGTTAAAAAAAAGTTCCACTTACACCAAGATATCAGGCCCTAATCCTGGGAATCCATAAATGTCACTGTATTGGAAAAAAAAGGGTCTTTGCAAAGGTGACTAAGTCAAGGATCTTGAGACGGAAAGATGATCTTGGCCTAGCCCTAAATGTCATCACAAGTGTTCTTAGAAGAGGGGCAGAAGGGCATCCACTGACAGAAAAGAAGGCAGTGTCGGGTGGAGGCTGGGACCGGAGAGACCTGGCTGCAAGCCAGGAGTTACAAGAGGCGAGGACAGATTCTCCCCAGAGCCTCTGGAGGAAGTGTGGCCCTCCTGGTACTTAATTGCAGCCCAGGGTCCTGATTTGGGAGCCTGTGGATTTGCAGTCATTTGAGCAGCTGCAGAAAACACACTCCCCTGCTTCCTCAGAGCCTCCGTCCCCTGGGCTGAGCCCTCCCGGCTCCCCCCTCTCAGTGGAGCAGGCCTCCACTGGCTCTTGACACCCAGCAGGTGCTAACACAAATCCCACATCACCCGGGCAGCATGCGTGACACCCAGGGACTTCCCCTTCACCCTGCAGTTCCCACGAGTTTAACAGTCTGTCATTAGGGGCCTCTCGCCTCTTGGCCAGACAGACCCAGCGTTCAGACCCATGTTCTTATCTGGCTTCCCAGTTGGTGCAGGCCTCTCCCGGTAATAGGGTCGGCTTATCTTTCATTACGTAAGGAGCCAATATAAAATCCAGCGAACCCTTGCAAAGTCAGGCTAATGGAAGAATTAAGGCCATCTGAATGGAAGAAGCATCCGAAACATGAACTCGTTATAGAGAAATCTGGAAATGACTACAAAGTGCCTGTTTGGATGGAGCCCAACACAAGCATTTCTCGAAGGAGCCACGAGGGGTTATCTTTGATACACAGATGACATGCTTTGTAATTATCTGAGCTTCTATTACCTGGGGTCCTACAAGTGCACCTGGGAGTTTCTGCAACCTGTTCCTTTGGGTAAAGGAGATTAAAGAGGGCTGGGGCCATTCCACTACAGCAGGAGCTTGTTTTCATTACTAATAATAACAATAGCAAATGCTCCCTGATTATTCACTCTCCGCCAGACATATTATGAAGACTTTGCGTACATTATCTCAGATGGGCTTCAGTAGGACCTGGGGGCGGGGCTGTGATCATTTCAAGACAGGGAACGGAGGCCCAGAGGTGCAGCCAGGATTGATCTTCTGTGCACGCACTAAGCACACCCGACGCCGTCTCCCTTAGCCACCAGCACGTGAGCCGGCAACCTGTGGCCCAGGACTGCAGCCGTCCCCACCCCTGCACGGCAGCTCTCATGACAAAGGTGTCCACCTGGTCCTGTCCTTGTTTGTGTGACCATAAATCCTGGAGGAGTGAGGGTCTTGTGGGTAAGTCAGCTGGACAGCAGCTGAGGTGTCCACCTGCGGCTGAGGTGGAATTAAGGTCGTGGACCAGGGAAGCCATCAGAATGGGTAGGTCTCTTAGAAGCAGCAGCCGAGGACCTGCATTATTGGAAGCCCCCAAAGGAAAGTGTCCCCTGAGAAGCAGAGCATCAGTTTTCACTGAGCTCTTTAGGGGTCTTGAGGGGGCTCCCCCCTTCTCCTTTTATTTCTCACCTGGCGTCACGAACAAAACCAAACCAAACCGTGAGTGGCTTAAACACAGAGTCCCCACCGGGGTTTTCAAGCAGAGGAATTTGTTGGCAATAAAAGAGTCAACAATTAAGAAATGAAAGAGGGTTCAGATGGTCAGCGAACGAGCGGTGTGTAGAGGTCCTAGGTGTCTGCCCCACTGAGCCACAAACTGGGCTGTGGCTTCTGAGCAGCCACTACAGAGGTGAACCCATCCCACCCGACACCGCGGGGCTCTGATGGGAAAGTCAAGCAAGCAGCCCCTCCTCCTGCCACTGGGGTGTGCGTGACCCAAGCTGACAAAAGCCTCCTAGGACACAGTGGCAGGTCAGCGTCGCTCAGTCATGGCGGTCCCTGGGAGACAGGGGCCTTCCCGAGACATGAGGAGTGTGCTGGAAGCCATCAGTCCTGCTGTGTGGACGTAGGCATGTGACGGGGCCCTAAGGACACAGCTGGAGTTCCTGGATTGAGCCATGCCTGAAACCCTTTGTCCACCCTTGGGTATTTCAGGGTTTTTTTTTTTTTTGCTTCAGTTAGTATGAATTTGGTTCCTGGTGCTTAAAAATGAATATACAAGAGTTCTGATTTAAAAAAAAATACTGTTAGCTGTGAAATGGGGGGAAAAGCAAAAACAGACTCAAATAAGTTGTTCAGGAAAAGTCCTAGAATTCCCTTATGGAGACTTTTCTATTGGACCAAAAAAAAAAAAAAGATCTAGTGATATTCTATCCACCTTGATGGGTGAAGTCAGCATTCATGCCAGGAAAGCACAACCTCCTTAGCTCAGAATCCAGGGCCATGGAGACCCAGGCTCTGCTCAGCCCTTCCCCTCCTCTTTCCCTCCTCAACTTCAGGCCTTGCTCTCCACCCTGATGAAGAGAAGGAGCCACAGGCTGCTCCAGCACAGCACACGCACCTAGTCATCTTCTTTGGTGCGTGCTATTCCTCCAGCCTGGAAGACCCCTTCCTGCTAAGACTTTGCGAATATGAACTTTACTTTGGTAATCACCCTCTTTCCTGGCTGCTTAAAGCAAGATACAATTAAAAAAAAAAAAACACCAAAACCTGATTCCACTTATATAAAATGTCCAAACTGGGCAAATCTATTGAAATAGAAAGTAATCAGTGGTTCTCAAGGACTGGGGGTTGTCTAAAGGTACAGCTTTCTTTTGGAGGGTGATGAAACTGTCCTAAGATTGATTGTCTAGATAGTTCTATGACCGTATACACAGGAAGAGCTACTGACTTGTACACTTTAAATGGGTAGATGATATGGTATGTGAATTGTACCTTCAATAAAGGCTGTTAAAAATTTTTTAAATGAGATTATACTATTAACGAATAATAAAACAAATCCCAAGGTGTTATAAATAGAGCCCAGAAATGAGCCGAGTGATGGGTAAGTTTCCCTCGGTGCCGCCCGGCTTCTGCAGACTCCCATAGACGACCGACTGCACCCATACCCTGGCAGGGAGCAGGACTCTCTTCACAGCTGGATATTCTGCTTCTCTCGACCGGCGTCCCTGCCATGAGTGAAGGAAGCACGGCAGGAGGTAGGACTCACCGTGGGCAGCTGGCCTGAGAGCAGATGGCCGTCCTGGGCCAGCATGTTGGACACCATGATAGCCGGGAGATCCATGGCCTGGTAGGAGTAGGCAGGGAGAAGACCGTTGGGTGTAAGCCCGTGGCACAGCGAGTGGTAGCTGGCTTCGTGGTCCCCCAGGTGCAGGAGAGATGGCTCAGGGAGGTTGGGAGGTGTTATCGGAGGGATCTCATAGTCTTCGTTGCTCTCACTCTGGCTGTTATAGGTCTAAAACATCAAAAGGGCACGTTGGTGGGGGTCAGTGTCTTAAAACTGCAGACCACGCTCAACACCACCATAATAACAACCCTTTGGCAAAGAGAAGGGATGATTCCTCTGCAAGGCAGAGGGTCTAGGTGGCCCCCTGACTTGGAAAGACTCCTGCTCCATTCCCAAGCAGATGCTCCCTCCCACCAGAGGCTCCACACACAAAAGCCTGCTCTCCTGGAGAACAAGACTGGCTCCTGTCACCTGCTTCCCTCTGTTTGCCCCTCAGAACCAGCCACCACAGCCCACCCAAGATCCACCTTTCCACAGTCACCCATTTTACAGACTGGGACCCCAGGCTAAGAAGGAAAATGGACCATCCAAGTCAGCAGAAGAGCTGGGAATGGAGCTGAAGCGCCCAAGCCCTGCCCGGTGGGCTTTCCAGGCGGCTGGATGCTTTTCTCTTACATGTCCCCAACAGCCAGCCCAACCCCGGCCTCTCTCACGTGTCCCTGTCTTGGCAAATGGGACAAATGTTCCTCAGAAGAACAAAGGTGGCGGCTAGGGGCAATGCTGGCCACCTTCTTTCCAGTCCTTATTTGTGTATTTTTCTGGCCTTACTGAGCTGACCAGGGACCCCCAGGACAGTGGTGAACAGAAAGGCTGAGCGTGGACATGCTTGCTTCCCCCTTATTGTTATGGTCTCAATATTTTACTGAAAAGTACGATGAGCCCCCACTTCTGTTTTTTAACTTTGAGACGAGGTCTTGCTAAGTTGCCCAGGCTGGCCTCTGACTTGCCATCCTCTTGCCTCAGCCTCCTGGGTCACTGGGATCATGGACATGTGCCACCGTGCCCAGTCTAGCTGAGATTTTTTTTTTTATTGTGCATTGATTTTTAATTTTATCAAATTCTTTCCCTCTGCCTCTACTGAAAGGCTCAAGTGATCCTCATTTTTAAATTCAGTTAATTTAAATGACTTTTTTGCCTTTATTATTCTTAGGTCAGGAAGCAGTATTCTTTCTATGCATTTTAGATTTTGTTGGCTGACAATTTGTTTAGGACTGTTGCATCTGGTTCACAAGTAAAATTGGCCTCCATTGTCCTGTCTTATGATGCCCTTGGTGAGTTTGGGTGTCCTAGTTGGTCTGGGGATTTATTTTCCCTTTTCCATTTTTTTAAAAAAAATATATTTTTCTATTCTTAGACCTAGCAGAAAAGGGATGTCTGAGTTGGAAGACTGATCCCGGAACTGTCCAGAATTCAGCATGGAGGGACCAAGAAGACACGCATGTTACAGAGATCACATGCAGACATGACAGGTGGGTATGGTCATCCGTTCAACTGACATTATGGAGGGAAGAGAATGAGAGGATGACCCAGAGGAATAGATGAAGAGGCATGAGAATATTCTGGAACCAATGAAGGACACCAAAGGTACTGGTGAAGGTGAGGGTGAACCTATATATTCAGAGAAGGAAAAACTGCAACCGCATGTAAGAAATAACATTGCTAACGTCTTGTGTGGTTAGATGCATCAAGTATGTGTGCTCCCCTGGTGAGGTTACTGGAGTCGGACGCCATGCCTGGTTCGCGGTAGGTGAGTCCCCACTGTTTCCTGGATGACGTCATGCGTGGTGACGTCATTATTGATGACATCATGAGCGGGGACCGGTGGGTTTGGGCAGAGCCAAGCGAGGAGCAGAGAGCACAGGACGCCAACACGCCTGATCAGTCAGTATCCAGGGCTTTCTCCTCGGGAACCCTCACAACCCCATGGGGAAGAGCCCTAGACTGCCCTTCAGAGCCACAGGAACCAGCTCCGAGAGGGCAAGGCCCTTGCCACACTGGTACCCACCCCGGGACCCAGAACCCACCAGGCTCTTGCTCACTGGCCCCCTCTGCAGGGCTATCGTGGGATTAGCTCACGGCTGGGCAGACTGTGCAGGGGCAAGAGGCCACCTGCCTGCCTTCTTGCTTCACCACCTTCTTCTAGGTTCCCCTGTTGGCATTTTATGGGCTCAGGCCTGAGCTCTCCTCTCTTCCTGCCCTACACTCTCTCCCCAGGTGGACCTCAACGGGTCTCAGCTCCAAGTCCCATTCAGCAGCCATGTGTACACCTCCAGCCTCGGTCACTCATTGGAGCTCCACAGGTGGGCATCTCAACACCACTCCACATTCCCTCTGATGGCCAGGGTGCCCCTTCTCCTACCTGAACCTGTGTCCTTCTGTCCCCCAAAATGACACTCTCCTCCATCTGTTAATAAAACCACAAACCTGGGACTCACACTGTTACCTCTCAAATCCAGCGCAACTCCTCCAAAATGTCTTTAAAATCTGCCTGTTTTCCTCCATCTCCACTGTGACTATCTCATCCCAGCCACATGCACACTCCTGTCCTGCCATCTTCTACCTTGACAATGACAAGGGCCTCTCTTACTGGTCTCCTGTGGCTCTCTCTTGTCCCTCTATTCCCTTCCTGTAGTCAGAGTGGTCTTTAAAAAGATGAACATCTCACAATGTTACTCCCATTCTTGAAATGCTGATGGCTCTCCCTGCATTCAGGATCAAGTTTCTAGCTCCAAATATAACTCTGTATGTCCTCCATGGCTGACCCATTATCTCTATAATCACAGAGACCATTCCTGGCTCCAGGCCCTTACATATGTGTCCCCTCTGCAATATGGCTCTCTGCCTGCCCCACACTCTCCCTTCATCTGACTCATTGCTGCTCATCCCTCACCAAGAGGTTGGTTTCAATGTAAGAAAGAAATCAGGAAAGCAACCCCATTTATAATAGCCTCAAAAAAAAAAAAAACTAGTCATAAATCTAATCAAAGAGATGAAAGACTTCTACAATGAAAATCACAGAAAATTAAAGAAAAAAAATTGAAGATACAAGAAGATGGAAAGACCTCCCATGTTCATGGATAGGCAGAATTAGTATTGTTAAAATGGCCATATTATCCAAAGCCACATACACATTCAATGCAGTCCCCATCAAAACACCTATGACATTCTTCACAGAACTAGGAAAAACAGTCCTAAACTTCATTTGGAAGGATAAAAGACCCAGAATAGCCAAAGCAATTCTAAGCCAAAGAAACAATGCTGGAGGCATCACACTATGACTTCAAATTATTACTAGTGAGCTACAGCAATAAAAAGTGCATGGCAAGGGCATAAAAACAGACACACAGACCAATGGTACAGAATAGAGGACAGAGACAAACCCACACATCTACATACACTGGAGAAAAAGCAGCCTCTTTAACAAATGGTACTGGGAAAACTGTTTATCCATATGTTTAAGGATGAAACTGGATCCCTATCTTAAGCCTTGCATGCAAATCAACTCAAAATGGATCAAAAACCTTGGAATTAGGCCAGAAACTATACAACTCCTAGAAGAAAACATAGGGTGGTCAACACTCCAGCATATAGGCACTGGCATCAACTTTCTCAGTAGGGCCTCCGGAGCTCAGGAAATAATGCCAAGAGTTAATAAATGGATGGCGTCAGATTGAAAAGGTTCTGTATGGCAAAGGAAACAAGTAGGAGTGTGATGAGAGAACCTTTAGAGTGGGAGAAAAATCTTTGCTAGCTACTCTTCTGACAGAGGTGTAATATCAAGAATATATAAAGAACTCAAAAACCAACACCAAATAACCAAATAACCCAGCCTAAAAAAATGGGCTAATGAATTAAACAGATACTTCTCCAAAGAAGACACACAAATGGTCAACAAATATATGAAAAAATGTTCAATATCATTAGCAATTAGGGAAATGCAAATCAAAACTACACTGAAATCTCATCTCATACCAGCCAGAATGGCAGTCATCAACAATACAAATAATAATAAATGCTGGAGAGGATGTGGAGAAAGGATCACTTTTACACTGTTGGTGGGATTGTCTGTTGGTATAACCACCATGGAAATCAGTATGGAAGCTCCTCAGAACACTAGGCATGGAACCACCATACGACCCAGCTATTTTGCTCCTCAATATTACACTAAAGAATTAAAATCAGCATGCTATTGCAATATGCGAATACCCATGTTTATAGCAGCACAATTCACAACAGCCAAACTATGGAACCAGGCTAGGTATCCACCGATAGATGAATGGATAAAGAAAATGTGGTCTATATACACAGCCATAAAGAAAATTGAAATTATGTCATTTGCTGGAACATGGATGGGACTTGAGACCATTATGTTAAGCAAAATAAGCCAAACTCAGAAGGTCAAGGGTCATATATTTCCTCTCATATGTGGAAACTAGAGAGGAAAAAGGAAAAGGAAGGTGGGCGGTTATTGCATAAAAAGCAAAGGGAGATCAGTAGCATACAGAAAAGGGACCAGCGGGTGGGAGGAGGGGAAGGAGGGCAAAGTGCCAAGGGGAATATTGGGCGAGTCGTATTGTGTGCATGTACGAATGTGCCATCACAAATCCCACCAGCCATAACGCACCAATTTAAACAACCGAAAGTAAAAACAGAATTAAAAAAATAAAAGAGGTTGGTTGAAGTGTCTTCCCTGGTACTCTACAGTAGGTCAGACCCCATACAGCACCCCAAGATTTCCCAGGATTTCTCCCTGGAAGTGCTCGTCAAACTTGTAGTTCACTGACTTCTGATGAACCTGTTTGTCATGAAATGTGACTTCTGCTTGCTGTACCCCATGCTTAGGCCAGAACCCGGCATAAAGTCTGGCACCAAAATGAGCTCAAAAGCAATTCATTGATGAGAAGGCAAGGCCAAGGGCTGACGTCATAAACACACACCTCAAGACCTTCAGCACTACCCAGGGCAGGGGGACTGCGGTCTTTATTACACAGGAGGCAGGGCTGGGTGGTGGTTAGAGCCCGACGGCTCGGGTCTGAATCCCTGCTCTGCCACTTACTACCTGTGTGATCCGGGGCACATAACTCACCCTCACTTTGCCTGGGTTTCCTCATCTGTGAAAAAGAGGGTATCAACAGTAGTACCTACAGGGTTGTTGCAAAGAGTAAACA